GATACTTTATTATGGTATAGTATTTAAATATATGCCTGAGAAACACATAATATAGGCCCTTTAATAGTTTTCACGTCATAAACAGTTTTCCAGGACCACAGAAATGCATACACCAGCTATGAAGACGGAGTGGCGTTCCATGCATTTCCATGCTCATTTCATTATTTAACAGGCTTATCCTGAAGGCCAGCTCGGTTCTAGGATGCCCTCTAGACCAGAGGTTCTCAAACTGGGGTTCCTGGACCACCAGGGGTTCACGAGAGGTAACTTGGGGTTCCTCAATTTTTTTTTTACTAAAATGTTAATTTGTTTTTTATTTTTAAAAATGCATGGCATGGAGAACAATGAACTAATAAAACAAACATAATAAACTTAATAAAATATATATATTCCTATGGCATTTACGGGTTGAAATGACAACAAATTATCTTTTAAAACAGCATGGGGTTTATGAGGGGGTCCCTGGAATTTTTTTCGCCCTTGTAAGTGGTCCCCAGACCCAAATGGCTTGAGAGACCATGTGGAGGTGTTGAGTGACAGTGGCTTCTCATTCCTGTTGGCCAACATCTCCCACCCCACGCAGGGGACTCTGACGGCACTGAGCAGCTCCTTCAGTGGCAGAAGGTTGCATCCACAGAGGTAAACATGACCTCGTCACCACTTTGTCCTTGTTCCCCCAATCATTACATAGTACTGTTTTTTTATTTTTGTTTGTTTTGTTTTGTTTTTTACATTTTCAACAGTCTCAACTTTTTCAGAATTGGTGTTATATATAGAGTATAAAAAGTATTATTTTACCTAGATTTGTTTTCTTCATAGTGAGCACTTGTTTCAATGTAACGTGACAGCTCTATCTGCATGTCTCCAAACAGAGGCACAACTTGAAGCTGACAAAAGAAGAATGAATTAACACTTTGCCACATGGAGGACCAAAGATATGCCAAAACAGCAACAACAACAACAACAACAACAACAACAACAACAACAACAAAACTTACTTTGAAGAACTTGTCAATCTTGCTCAGGTTGATTCTCTTTTTGGCATCCAGTTTGTAGATATTACTTACATTCCCATCCATCAGGTACAAACCAAAGCCCATGACCTGCCAGACATTGGGAGGACCAAACAAATACCACCTTGAGATTTGATTTCATGTTTTTTAAATGCTGGCAGAAAAAAAAAAAGTCAAATGTGCTTTTACCTTAAGCAGCATGTGTTTCTCACTGGGTGTCAGATACATTTTGTTTTCATAGTAGTCGACGCAGATGTTCACAATATCTGCCAAAAGCTCCTCATAACCTGGAATCACCTCCAGCTGTTGGTGCAGGCACTGCACAGGGAGAGGTGGAGGATATTAAACTGGGATGAACCGACAGTCATAGTTAAAGTTATGTTCACTTTTTGTGAATACCTCTGCACATCACACAGGCAAAACAATCTGTGCTGCTTTGTGTTAATAACAGTTTAACTTGAACAACTTCAGATAATCCATTTACGGATGTAAAGAAAAGTTTGAGATGATTTATGCAAACACATTTTTATTAAAGCATTTGGAAGATAAAATGATCCGAAAAACAGCTGAAAGCCAATATTGGCAAAAGAGTAGTTGATAACAATAGATAGAGAAGTARGTAAAAGCTAAAGCTAGCAAACACTAGTTGAAAACTAAAATGACAGAACAATAACTAAAAGCTAAATTTAGCAAAAAAAAAAAGAGCTGAAAAGTTTTTTTTTTTGAAAAGTAGTTAAAAACAAGAATCAGCAAAACAGTAGCTGAAAACTAAAATAATAGGAAGGGTAGTAAATGTTAAATTTAACACAACAATCACTGCCAATTCAAATGATCAAAACAGTAACTAAATGCTAAATAAGTATAACAGTAACATTAAAATGATCAGAACGTTAGCTAATAGTCAATATTAACAAAACAGCAGCTGAAAACTAAAATGATCAGGGGTCGGATTTATAAAACTTGCGTACGCACAATTTGAGCCCAGAAACTTGCGTACGCCACTTTTGACGCTAAGATTGTGATTTATAAAATCCAAACTTGACGTGAAAATGTGCGGTGCCTCACGCCAGCTTTGACCCATGTGTACGCTCATTTTGGAGACGTGAAACTGCGACACAGATGGTGAAGTGAGGAATTAGAGCCACACTGTGTGATGATCACTGTCGGATATTTAATTTACCTTCAGAATCAGACTTAAATAAAAGTTCCCGTGCGCAACTCCATTCATCTGCTTCCTCCTCAGACGACCCTGACCCACAGACCCCTCCCCGATAAGAACAGCAGGACAGCAAAAGCTTTGGATACACGCGCAGGGCGTGTATCCAGTCCGTGTTTGTCACGCGCGCGCGCGGGGGATGCGTGCGTGCGTGCGTGTGTGTGTGTGCATGCATGCGTGCGCGGGGCGGGGGTCTGCCGCGGGTAACAGAGCAGGCAGGAGGGGGAGAGGACGAGGAGAAGAGCGGGGGACTTATTCCTAATTTTACCTGACTTATTTAATTTAATTTATTGTTTTTTATCGTCCTGCAGGCTCTGATGGGAGATTGATTTGAAGCTGAGGTTTTTTATTTTTATTTTTTATAAAAATCGTTAGATTACTCTAAAGCAAAATGAGGGAAAATCTGTGTCAGTTACAGACATTCTGTTCATGTGAGCAGCTGTCAGTCAGCACCTGTCAACCTCCAGACGCACGATGGAGCGTGTCTGAGCCAATCACTTTTGTTGGCATTAATCAKCTGACTGATTTAAATACATCTTAACATTCATGAGGTACTTTRCATTGACTGTTTATGGTTGAGTGTGGGCGTGTAGAGGGTAGAACCTGAGGCGGGACCTCGTGCGCAAACTCTGACGTGCGGCTGTGATTTATAAAGGAAAGATGCGCAGAAACGTGCGTACGTACGGTTTTATAAATCTGAATTTTTTTGGCGTATGCCATTTCCGCCTTTTGGCCGTACGTTCACTTTTAGTATGGTTTCCACGCAATCCTTTATAAATGAGACCCCAGAACAGTAGCAAAAACGATTTTTTTAAACAGTAGATGCCAAAATTAACAAACCACTAGCTGAAGGCTAAACGTGTCAGCACAGTCACTAAAAGTGGGCACTTGCATAAAATGTTCAAAATTACTTTACAGCTGTTTTTCCTATTTTTACTAGAAAGGCTCTACACACTGATTCCAAAACAGTTTTTTTAATAAATCAGACCACAAAAATCAGGATTTAGAGGTCATCAAAGGTTAAAAATTTGGACACAAGCCCTGCATTACTTGCRTAACACCATAAAAAAATTGCAGAGCCCTGCAGACATGGAGCGTACCAAAATATTTAAACTATTTTTCAAACCAAAGCAGAAAACAAACTAGATAAAACATATAGATTGATTTAGAAATGATATGAGGGTCTAGACATTATAACCGAGTGACTGAAACTAACCTGGTAACACTGCCCAGGTTGGACAATGCATTTATTGAAGTGCCCCCTAAAAGCTAAGAACAACAGAACATTGTCTAAAAACTAGCCTGGCCCTTGCCTTCTGCTCAGTTCTAGTCTCCTTTCACTGCTCCATCTGGGATTTCTCCCATAGACAAGGATTTCTTCAGGAGAATTTCATTCGGGCCAATCAGAGAAGAGAAGGCGGAGTTTTGAATTATGTCGATTTTCTGCGCAGTGTCTGCTAGTTAGTTTAGCATACGGCAGTGGAGGAAGTGAATGTAGCCAGTCTGTGTTGATAAGGCTTCAAATTAAAATAAATTTGTCTGACAAAGCAGCAGCTCTCATTTACAGTCGTCTCGCTCGGCTCTTACTTTTCTCCTCTCAGTAGGGTTGTTTACAGCAAACGCGATATCCAGTTAGCTTCTTAGCTTAGCCTCCTTCACACCGACATACGTCGCGGCCAACTGATCCAACCATTTTAAACTTCAGCAGAGGCCACACCTCCAGGAAGAATCACTTCTCTATAGCCGCAAGTTAAGACCCTTACACGGAGCAAAGTGAAGGACAAGGGTCTGGTTTTTACCAGGCTAGCTAAAAACTATAATTCAGCTAAATGCTAAAAATCAAGCAAGCTGCTGAAGTATTTTTCAAGAAGCAAAAAGATTTTCTATAATTTGAAAACACTTTAAGTATTTCCATTAGAATAAAAGTAAATAAAGTTACATTATTCAAAATGTATAAAAAGGTAAACACCAAAAGTAATAGCCGTAATATGCTGAGTTAGCTTACCGATTTGACAACTGAATGGCCGAAATAGATGAAAGTATTTAGATTCCAAAAAACATACAGAAGACAACAGTGTGAATGCTGACTCAGCATTCAGGCTACAATGGGAGCAATAAAACGGTGTCATCCCTCCGAGTCATCTTTCACACGTTAGAACTTCCCACGCTGCTGAAGAAACTACCTGAGTGATCCTGTTGTGGTTGGCTAAAAACATGGAGAGGTTTTGGGACTCCTGGATGGACTGAGGGTCTGCCATCTTCCTCAGGAACTGAGCAGCTCTAATAACCACAAGAAGAGATGAACGACGTGTTTGTTTTTTGGAAGGAAAAAAAAAACTAAAAGAAATGAATATTTACTCGTTGGGGCTTTGGGTACCGTTTGTAAGCAGAGTGGTCGTTCTTCACACTACACTTCATGTTCTTCAGCTCGTCCAGTACCGCGAACATGTTGATGAATTTGCCCAGAGTGAGCAGGTAGGCCTCCGACACAAAGTCTTTCCTCCTCTCAGCGTGACACAGACGCTTCACTTCACTGCAGAACCGCTCGATCGCCTTCCGCTGGAAAAACAAGAAACATTCAACGGATTAAACACTGCGTTCGATGTGTGAAGTGGTAGCAAAATAGCTCGTGATCCAATGGATGGATTTTAATGAAACTCTCAGAAAGTAATTGCAAATCTATAACTGATTAACTTTAGGAGGTATCCACAGTATATATGGCCGCCAAAGCTAAGCTACTGTAGCAAACTGGCTACAACTCAATCAGTTTTACTAATATTGGGCTACAATTTGGTGTGGTAGTAGCAGAGAGTCATCTCCAAATTATATACTAAGCAGTTCATGCTTGCACGACTTTTGTTTTTGAAACCTGGACAAGAAATGGAAACATCTGGATCAGAGCAAAGGAAGGGTCTCGTGTTAAAATAATAAAAGAATTAAAGGAATTAGAGGGATTTAGATGAGTTCAGGAGGGACAAATTACAAAATTAAAATGCTAAAACAACTCGGTACAAAAACAGTTAATAAAAATATGTACAGACTAATGGAATCTTACACTAAAAAATGACTACATYTGTAGACTCAGAGTCTAAAACATATGATGTAGATGATCGGATTGATTCTATTTTTTTCCTGTAATTAAAGACTGAATATTATAATAAAGAGCAATTTAATGATATTAATATAACAAATTGTGATTTTTCTATTATTTATATTAATAGTAGAAGTATAAATGCAAATTAATCTAAAATAACAGATGGTTTATAACAGTTACATAGAAGATTTGGTAAAATAGCACTCTCAAAGATGTGGCTCAATGATGAAAGTTTAAATAATGTTCACATTGAACTATGGAGTCACGCTACTTATTAATAATGAAAAAAAATGCTGAATAAATAATAAAATTTCAATAATTATATATGTCATGGAATAAAATAACAATTGAAATATTAAATAAGAATTCTAAAACTATTATAAGTTGTGTATACTGATAACCAGATTCAAATATAGAGGTATTTACTGATAAAATCATGTAGCTCTATGAAAAGAGTGCTAACAAAACAGTTATTTTTGTGTGGAGACTTTTATATTGATTTGGGAAATAAAACAGACTCCAATAATATTGGTACATTTATAAATTCTATGTATAGTTTAAATCTTTATCCACTGATAACCTTATATATATATATTTGTATATATACATACATTGCATAATGTGAATCCATGCAAATTGTTGTTGGAGTTGATGCTGTTTTTGTTTARTTTAGTTTTTTGTAAATTACTTTTGTTTGAATATATTCTAGGAAAAAGGAGGCAGATATTATAAGATTTTTTCTTCTTTATGCTGCCTTTCATCTTATTTAACTTGTATTTTTTTCTTTTATTGTATACAGTTGTCCTGATGCATCTCAGTAATCCAGGTAAAAAATCAAAAAGAAATAAATTGTATAGGTCTTCTGGACGGGTTCTTCTCTAATGAAACGTTTCGTCTCTCCTCCAAGAGACTTCTTCAGTCTGAGAGTTTCAGGCAAAATTCAGGCTTTTAAGCCCTGCCTCCATGTGACTGATACTCACATCACATGCCATCGTTGACACCTAATTAACACCTATTGTTAACAGGGGGTGGAGTGATACTGGCAATGGCAGCGCTGTAGGAGGGGGACAGCTGAAAACGGAGGCCTCCACCTCTGTTTAATGATGGACGGTCTTTCTTCACAAAAATGGCTTCTTTTACTCCTCTCTCAAACCAACGTTCCTCTCTATCAAGAATGAGAACATCCTCATCTCTGAAAGAGTGACCGCTGGCCTGTAAATGAGTGAAAACTGCAGAGTTCTGGCCATTAGAATTAGCTCGTCTGTGTTGGGCCATTCTTTTGAACAGTGATTGCTTTGTTTCCCCGATGTATAACTGGTCGCAGTCCTCCTGGCACTTAACAGCATATACAATATTGCTCTGTTTGTGCCGGGGCACCGGATCTTTGGGGTGAACCAGCCTTTGCCGTAATGTGTTTTGGGGTTTGAAAGCYACTGGGACATCATGTTTAGAAAATAAACGTCTCAGTTTCTCCGAAACACCCGCAACATACGGAATAACCACTGGTTTGGGTCTGGGTTTGGGGTCTTCATTTTCACCTGAAGGTTGCATGGAATCCTGTCTGTGTTTCCTGTCTGCTTTCAGGAAAGCCCAGTCAGGATAACCACACTGCTCCAGGGCCTGTCGTGTGTGTGATTTCTCTTTCTCCCTGGCTCCTGGGTTTGTAGGGACACTGTCTGCTCTGTGGTACAGAGTCCTGATCACTCCTAACTTGTGTTCCAGTGGGTGGTGGGAGTCAAAACGCAAATATTGGTCTGTGTGGGTGGGCTTACGATACACGCCAGTTTCCAACCGTCCTACATCCGAAACCGAGACATCGCAATTCAGGAATTTTTTTTTTACTGTATATAGTTTGTTTTTAATGAAATGAATAAATTTCTAAATAAATAAAAATAAAAAAATAATAATAAAACTGCACCATTAACTATTAGTTAATTGTATCTGGCTATTACCAAAATATCATATGAATAAATTTTTATGGATCTTTCAGAAATTCATCATTGGGATCACAGACACAACTGACTAACATTTAGAGTCAATACATATTAAAACAGCTGCTACAGCTAATTGACCTTAGCGAACACAAAAAGAGCTATAACTCAGTTCAATTTATAGATGTTGAGCTAAATTTAGTTATGAGCCACCGACAAGACATACTCTGAGAATGAACACATTACAAGATTTCATACGATTGTGCATAATGTTACAAGGTTTGACCAAAATGGTTACGATTTTGTCTCTTCTGATCAACATGATGAATAGATGGAAATAAACTGAGTATGACCTGAGCAACAAACACCAGAAAAACAAAACAAAGTAAATTTAGCATTATACTCTTATTTAACTTGGGGTTTGACATCCTCTCTTGAAAGCAAACCCCCCAAAAATGCAAATGAATAAATAAATAAATTGTTAAACTTACATTTTTTTCCCTCTTTTGATTCCTGAACATTTTCCTAAAGCAAATGATCCGACTCACCTGGAAGTACATGAACTTCATGAGCTTGGTCACCTCAGGCTCCAACACCTCCACAGTCTTCTCATAGATCTCAACTCTGTTGGGCTGCTCGTTGCATTTCACCTAACAAAACACAAGGTGGCGTCATCACACAGCCTGATGTTAGAGTGAGGCACAAACATGATCAAATCTCTATCAGTCTCATCTCAATTACCACCTTAAGAAAATTACTAACATTCCTATCATAATARCAAAGAAATTATATCTAGTTGTGAATTCTAGGTCTTCTTTACCAACAGCTAAACTATACAGGTAAACTCAGTCATGATGGTTAGTTGTCAGGTTTTATTTTTGGTTTGCTGTTCAACAATATGAAAATTAAAAAAAAAAAAACATCTAGGAATCAATGAGTGCAACAAGGAGGAAGTGATTCACCTGAGGAATGGCTCTGGAGCAGCTCCTCCACGTGTAGAGCATCACAGCATACTCATGTCCTTCCTCCAGCATCTCATTCTGATATAAATAAATAAATAAATAAAAAATAAATAAAAACCACAACAAACATTCTTTCAACAAAACATTAACAACTTTAAGTGTTGCCTTAAAGTCACAGATCAAATCCTTTCAAGTAGAGCTCTGTGGAAAGGTTGTGAGCAGCTAATATCTTACCTGCTGCTGATTGGTGAAAGAGTTTAATTCTCCAGTTAGCAATACTGTAAATGATACTCACTATATTATTAGCAAACTTCTTAGTCAACATGAGTTTTTAAATTTTACTTTTAATTTCTTACAAATTTGACCTGAAATTAACAGCAGTTTTCCTCCACACCACCAGTGTGCGCTGCCTACAGCAGTTAAAGCTTAGGCTTCATTTAAACTGCAGTTTCAAATTTATCACAGCGAGTGGAGTCTGTAACTGTGTTATTGTTGAGCGAGCCGGGTTCTAAAAGGTTTTGCAGGCCGACAAAGACTACTGGAGTACTTCAAGCTAGCTAACTCTAACAGGGTGGCTTGTGCGATTTGCAAGGTTTCCTTGGTTTACCACTGCAGCACGAGATGCACACAGAGGCTGCAGGGGGGGGAAAAACATCATGCTGTTTTAAAGCTGCTAAACAAACTCTATTAAATTCAACAGGTTGTCCATCTGACAAAGACAAAATATTGAATATGTTCCAGTGAATACATCTTTAGCATGTTTAATTTGATTTAGGCAGTGCCGGTGTTGTGTCAAGATTAGTTAACTGCTTTGATTTCCATTTAACCTATGTTGCTTTAAGCAATGACATTTCAGCAAGGAAGAAAGCCTGATGATGGAAATCTAGAATAAGAAGGAACAGATTTTGTCACATTACATGTGTGCCTAAACATGGAGACTTTATAACACTGTATAGATTTGACATCAACCAATTTTAAGCTCATTGTGCAAAAATGTTATTAGGTTAAGAAATAACACTTAGATTAGGTTCATGTAATTATATATAAAAATATCGGCTGAGCTAAAACAATATTTTGACGTTAGTCTCCATTATTCCATTTTAAAACCATGAGCCAGATTATTCCTATGACAAGCTGAATTTTCCGTATATATATATATACAGTGGTTTGCAAAAGTATTCATACCCCTTGAACTTTTCCATATTTTGTCACATTA